AAAAATGCATGACAAGAATTTATTAGGAAAGTACTTGAGGACAATACATATATAATTATTTGCATACCAAATTTCAAGATAACATTAGGTTAGAAATCTGATATATTACTAGAATAAAAATTGAAATTAGTATACCTGAAACGACCCTGTCATCCTTGTTTGCCTCAATAGTAGTCATTTGATATGCTCTTCCTTTATCCCTCAGCTCATATCTCTTCCCACTTCCCCCACTCCTGTCAGTCTTCTTCTTTGGGTACTTGTTGATCTTTTGTCGTATCTCTTCACAATGAAAACACTTGAAGGGGATTTCTTGAAATTCTTAGCATAGTTTCCTTTTTCTCCATACTTGTGGCACACTATAGAATCCAAATTTGTTCCTTGAGTTGGAAAGCTTCGGGTACTCTTTGCGAACTTCCGCTTCTTTTGGTTGAAATTGCTCTTGTAGCGGGCATCACCTTAGGCCTTCCTCTTGCCACACTAGTTGCCAACTCTATCATTGTCTCGCTTTGGCGAGGGTCTTTTCAACTTCCATTTCCTTCCTTATTGGCTGATCTAAATTGGTCGGTTGTCCAAAGTTCAGTTTGAAGTTCCAAGGAAAACCTCGCTTATATCAATCAACTTTGGTGCTATCATCTGATGCGAATCTTCTTGAATAACTACGTAATTTTCTAAACTTGGTGTTGTACTCCTGCAAAGCCATCCTTTCTTTCTTCAAATCAAGGAATTCTCTCTCCAAGTCACGAATCTCGTCTTCTGAGCAAAACCTTTATTTTAGTTTCTCCAAAAATTCATCCCAAGTCAACTTTTCAATCACACTCAGTTTCACATTGGATTTCAGCTCCAACTACCAATCAAGTGCATCCTTTTTAAGGACAGTGATGAAAAAAAATCACTTTCATGCTATTTGGACATTGACATGCATAAAACACCATCTCTATCTCATCGATCTAGTTATGTAGTGCAACTGGATCCATTTCCCCATCGTAACTTGGGGGCTTGCACATGCTAAAATCCTTGTAGGTAAACTTATTATAAGTTACTTCTTATTCTTTGGGAATTCTCTTTGTACAAGGTCCACGCTCCATGATCCTTACGGAACCGCTAAAGTTGCCACCCTCAACCTTGGGTGTATCTAGAGCTTTAAGCAATTCCTGTAAAAATTCAAGTACTTTTTCTTCTTGATTTGCCATCAAATCAATCATGAATGCTTGAAGTTGTCCAAAAGTGGTTGGCTTAGGTTGAACCACTTTATTCACTGGTTCGTCTTGTGGTTCCACTGTGAGTGCTCGACTCCTTGTGTTCACCATTTCTGATACATTTACATGTTAGCTCTTAAGATAAGAAATAAGCATCTAGAGTCCTACAAACATAAAATTCTCATATAACTCATTTTATATATTTATGATACCTAAAACTCTCCATCAAAAACTTAGTTTAACTCTATGTACTAACCCTAACACATAGTTCACTTAAAGCACTTATCTGATACCAATTTGTAACACCCCTCGCTGGGGCCAAGTTGTTAAAATCATTTTCAAACAAAATGTAAACTCTTTTAAGAAGCGAGGTTGTTCATTAAGTATCATAAGTTAAATAAAACTTTTAAGAAGCGAGGTTGTTCATTAAGTATCATAACAAAGGTTCAAGTTCCCCACAGTTCGGGGTCTTCTAAAATCCATGCCACCTCCTAAGCACCAAACCTTTTAATCTGAACATACATCCAATATATGTTTGACAATGAAATGTCTAGTGAGTTACCCGAGGATCAACTCATTTTGAGTAAGGAATAGAAATCCCAATATTCGAATTAATTAATCCACCAAAAAACATATAATTAACATTTTAGTTGAAAAAGGACGGAAATATTATGTTCCAAAATTTACAAAAGATGGATAAGACTTTCATGCTAAATGCGATGTTATGCATGCATCTATTCCCAAATCCGTGTCAATCTCAAAGTTCGGCTCACAAGTTGATGGTCGGACGTGAAGACCATATGACAGACGAAATTGTCAAATTTGCCCTTACATCCACAATCAAGGCCTCAGAGGCCATCCAACCTAGGTCACATGAGGGGTAGCGAGCCTCTACTCGTGCATGTGAGGATTATCTAGGAATATACTCACAACAACAACAATAACAAATGTCCTTTCTCTCAAAGTCACACCTATCATAGTATGAATAGGCACACATAGGATGATGAAAACAGTTTTCAAGATTTCAGCTCTTTGTCTTATCAAAACATTTCAAAAATCATATTTTCATGAATGCATAATTAGGTGATATACCAATCAATGGGTACATAGAGTACCATGCAATGAAAATAAAGAAAAGCTTATCAAATAGAAATGATTGAGTAAGTGGATGTATGTTCCCGATAACTTACCTTAGCTTCTAGCTTCCTATAATCACTTCTTCTTTAATGGTAAACTTCCTTCAACTACTACCTTTAAAATCATAGTAAATTACTAAAAATGACCAAATTACTCTTGTAATACTTTTATCATTTACATCCTCCCCATAAGATTATTTACTTCTTATGAGATAAGATATACAGTTTGAGGGAAATCGGGGGTCATTTACTAGGTTTTCCACAAAAAATAGTACACTTAACAGAACATTTGACACACCCGATGTCAAAAGGACATGCCCCCGTGTCATGACTGACACACCCTTGTGTGATTTTGACTAGCCCCGTGTCCTGATTGCAGGTCACTATTTTGTGTAGAATTTTGCTAAAAGCTTTGTAACTTGTTCCTTAGACTTCCAATGGCCACCAAACTTTACCAAGTAGTTATTAATGACTAAATAAAGGTTATAAACTTCTTAAATACTGAATTTAGCCCTATCCTCATGATGACTTAATCATTAAGACATTCTAGATGTCATATGAGTTTTAAGATTTCTTATATGAGCATCATAACTTATTCAAATTTCATAATGACCTCAAATGATCATATAATCAACAAATATTTATTTGAACTCGTTGAAATCCATTGAATGAAATTTAGGGATACCATTCAAGAGATTCCATCAATGCTAGATCTAATCATCAATTGAATCATTTCAAAATCATTCAATGTCCAAATGAATGTTCCAAGTGCATAACATCATGCTAAAACACATTCTAAGGATTCTAGGCACTTAGTGCAACTATGGAATTACCCAATTCATTCCATAGTTTCCCATATTGCCCTTTTTGTCCCAAGAATCACTAGAAACACACTAGGATATGATGATTCTTAATTTTGACCTTCAATACCTAATCCATAACATAGAACTATGATTCTGAGCAATACATCCTCCTTATATCACCTACAATCACCATTAAAGTTCATATTCCAAAATTATCCCCAAACTTCATATTCTAAGTAAATGATTCTACCATTGCTAGAATTGTGCTATTATCTGGGTATTTGCAACCAATACTTTCTCAATGGTTATGGAATTATATAAAGGTTAGATTGTCACATCACCATTAATCATTCGAACATCTATGGTCTGTGGATATTTAGCAATTTCACCCAAATTCAACCATAGGAAGGTAGATTTGAGCTAGAAGCTAACCCTAATCACTTTACTTTGCTTAGAACACAAAACCTTAGTCCTTAAATGAGATGAAAATTGGATTCAACCCCAAACAACATTTTCATTTTGGATTTTCAGACCAAGGGGGAAAGAAGTTATACCTTAGAACACTAGATTGCTTCACAATGTGCTCCAAATGAACTAGACAATCTTGAGATAGAATTGTATGCCCCTTTTATACTTAAATCTCCATTTATCTACAACCTTCAAACCCCAAATCAATTCCATATTATGCAATGAAGAGTGTGAGCCTCTTATGTTTGAATTTTATCTTTCCACCCCCTAATTTTGAGTTTTTGACAATTATGTCCCAAAGTTCTAATAAATGGGATTGTAAATTTGCTAGTGTACATTCCAAGTACTTCTCCATCAAAACATGAGAAAAATAATACTAATTAGTAAAAATGGGTCAAAGTCAAGTCAAACCATATTTTGGAGAACTTAACACATATAGTCCTTATTTCCAAAATATTGGAAAATTTTTATTTTTGATCTCTAAAATATATTCTACTTCTAAAATTAATTATTCATTGTTTATTTCATTTATCTATTTATTTATTTATTTATTTATTCATTTATTTATTTATTATTATTATTATTATGATTATTATTATTATTATTATTATTATTACTATTATTATTATTATAAATTATTATATATATATATATATATATATATATATATATATATATATATATATATATATATATATATATTAAAGTTATGAAAGATTTTAACAGTAAAGTGACATATTTTTTTGTCAATTTTGGTCCTCCAACTTACAACATTGACCCTTCATCTTTATGCTTTTGTTCACAAACAACCCTTTCACTTTGGTTTGAATTTTTCATAACCCTCGCCTTTTATGACATATTATTAGTATTTAGTCTTTTGGCAGAAATGGTCCGTCATCATTATTATTATTATTGTTAGACAAAATTACACGATTGGTCCCTGTGGTTTACCAGATTTAACATTCTCTTTTTGGTTTTAAATTAATGTTTTATTTATTAGAAAATACCCACCCAATACCATAAACCCACCCACCATCTGCCATCACCACCACCGCTAAAATTACATAAATGGTCCATATGATTTATCCATGGTGACAAATTCAGTCCCTACTACCTGAAAAGACCAAATTACCTTCACATTAACGGACAAAAAACAACCAACATGCTACTTTACTTTACAAAGCAATACCTTCCGACCCCGGCAACGCCGGAGAATCTTTTCTAGTATATATTAAAGTTGTGTTAAACGATGAATAGTGAACTGGCGAACTTTTGGCAGAAATGGTCCTTGTATTATTGTTGGAAGTAGCAACATCCTGGTAAATTCGACTTGGGGCATATTTTGACATTACATATATTCTTTGTCTATACGTGGTAGCAATCTACTGCGTCGTTATCTTGCCCCACTGTCTCTCTCAACCGGTATCTTCTACAATCTTCTCGATTTTCTTTCTTTCCTCTGAAACGAACCGGTTGCCTTCGCATGCCACCAACAACTCTTTGCTTCTTTCTCTCCTCCCACAACATCTTCCCTCCGCTTGCTCTGACGTTTCTTCTTCTTCTGAGAATCATCAACCTCCACCAAGTCCTACCCTACAAAGCGAGTTTCAGAATCGTCGGCCCCCACCACCGAATCTGCTATTCGACTCTTCGATTCAACTATAGTCGATGTCGGCGAGTCGGCTTTTACCACGGAAGACTTCGACCAGTTCTCTGTATCTCTTTTTTCATGGATGTTTTCCGATTGCTTCCACTTCCCAATCCGAATGGACGTCGGCTCCTCGATTTCCTGTCATCGGCGTTATGACCTGCACATAATGTTACTCTCTCTCTCTTTCTCTCTCTCTCTATCTCTCTGTGACTGTATTCCTTTTATCTTTCTGTTGCCAACAGGTCTTCAGCTGCTGCCATAGAAGTAGAGATGTCGACCTCCGCCTCTACTGCTCCAGCTCCGGCCATTCAGGTATTTGAACTTCCGCCACAGCCTCCGTCGGATACTCTGCTTCTGCTTGCTAGTTTTAGCCGCTTTCCCTTCTCCAATCGTTGGCACATCGACAACAATAGAAGGTCAGATTGATTGTTCGAAGGAGGAAGAAGGGTGCGTGATTTGATAAAATATATAAATTTTACGTTTTAACTTTATACTTCTAAATTAGTTGTTCCTGATCCAAATTCCTTCTCGAACAGGAACACTTTCTTTTTCTGGGGTTTGGATAGCAGGCTAAAGACTACTGTGACTGACAATGGCTACTTTTGCTAAAGCAGAGAATGCTTTCAAACGAGCCAAAGGTGAGAATGCTTCTGGACATTACTTTATATTAGGCATAAGCACAATCTGATCCTACAAACTCTATTTTCTTTATCCTCTTTAACCTTTATCATGCTTCGTTATCTATTACAATTGAAATCCTGGATGTCAATGTATGATAGAGATTAGAAATCTTAGTTTGGCTTCCTTTCTGGGATGCTTGATTTTCCAATTGCGTTTAGTGAGGAAGAGAACTGAAGTTTGATTTTGTTTACCAGGTGATCACACCTACAGATTTTAGGTTATGGTTGTTGGGTGCGACTGATTCCTGATATTTTTAATCGATCGACTGCTCTTTTAAGCTAAATGAGATGGAATCGGAAAGAGAGACCAGGGTAAGTAATAATCATCAACTGTACTTACTGATTACACATTTTTAGGTCAATTTCCTTGACTTTTCTAATTTGGATTTGTACTTGAACACTAAAAACATGTTATTAAATCCGTCTCATTTTCACATGAGTTCATGTTTGATCTACAATAAAGTTATGTGACCAATTCCACCACTATCACTCTGATCCAGGAGGATGAAGCTCCGACGAAGGCTTTGGTTATACATAGATACATGCATCTAGAAGTACATATGGAAATTACTTTCGTCTTACAACATACGGTGAATCCCATGATGGAGGTGTTGGTTGTATTATTGATGGGTGTTCTCCTAGAAAAGAAACAGACACATGCACCATATTTTCAGGAGTGGCTGATGGTTAGTTTGTAGTAAATATCCCTATTCCTTAATATCATGAAGTCATATAAACTTGATCTTCATTTAGAAGATATCCCTAATGACCTCATTGTGTTGCACTAAATGCAGGATACACAACTGGATCTCCAATCAAGATAGATGTACCCAACATTGATCAAAGGGGAAATAGGTTTTTTGGTAAGATTAACAATATTTTGGTTATTGAATTTAACAGGACTACAGTGAAATGTGAAAGGCTTATCGACCTTCTCGCTTTTGGATGTGTTTTTCCTGAAATGATTATGTTTTTCTAAAATGACATAGACGTCGCCCGCCAAGTGTTTTATAAAATGTCGGACTCAATTTTCCAACTTTTGTAGCCAGACGACACCAAATATGTTGAGAGACATGGAACTTTGAAGAGCCTGACAACGGGTAAAAGATTATTTTAGTAGCTCTGTTGAATAATTATTGTTAAAATAGTCCAATTCTAACACCTGACCGTTTGCTCAATCAAAGATCTTTTTTCATCTTAAGGTCTGGGCAGTTAATAGCGCCGAGATCTTGGTGAGATCTCGGTGGGATAACGTTTCACGGGTGTTGGCAAAATAGCGGTTTCAAAGGCTGGAGGAAAGACATTTAAAGCGAAGAAGCCTATTCTGGTGAATCTCAACCCCACTGTAAGTATTTATATTTGTAATAAGAACAGTAGATCTAATTTTCATATTTAAATAACTTCTCCAATAAAAAATAAAATTTAAAGATGTAAAATAACATGCACTTTTCTTTTTTATTTTTACATAATGGAATTTTTGGGGAGACGATTTAGGCTATATTTTTTTCATGTTTAAGTTATCCAGAAACACCCGGTATATGGCCAAAGGAACTGGTAAAGGCATGGAAGCCAATTGTTGATGTTGTGCATGCAAAAGGCGGAATCTTTTTCTGTTAAATCTGGCATGTTGGAAGGGTTTCAAATATTGATATGATTGAATTTATGCAAAGAAATTGTGACATACTTTAATAATTACGTACAAGTAATTCCTCGACATATTGATGTCAAAGTTTTTTCAGATTTTTATTTTTTATTTTTTCAAAACGCCAAAACTACAAGTTTCATCCATTCAAATTGTATAATTGGATTTTGCTACTAAAGGTTTTTTTTGTTCAAACAAGTATATGACATGGGTATTTTGGTCAGTACTCAATTATTATTATGGTATTTACTCAAAGATACTTTGATACGAACACTTCATATGCAACATCTATTTTTACCTTTGGAATGCACTAGCAGGTAGATAAATAGACTTTGTTTATGCAAAAAGGAGTACACTTTGTTGGCATGCTTATATACCTTTGATGTTGCATAATTTTTTTTTATTTATACTGAAAAAAGACTGACACTAATGTGAATGGGAGAAGGTTTGCAACTTTTTATCCCATTAGTACAAACGACCTTAATGCCCTTCTAAAATTATACTATTTGTTTCCAACCTTTTGCATCATATGAATGCTTTTGTTGTATTGTTATGCATGCAACAGTTCTTGACCCTGCAGATTATGCAGGCCTTGAATGACATTATACTAATTTATTTGTTTACTTTGATTTCTTACATTAGGACATTATATTGTTTTCAATCTATCCGATTGGTTTGTATTTGAATAACATTATAGCATCCTATTTTCGTCACCCACCAAACATCAACAAAAATATCCAACCCGTGTGTCTTCAGTAAATTTGTTTGTTCCGAACCCCGCGGAGCGGGGTTTCCCAGCTAGTTATTATTATTATTATTATGATCATCATCGTAATCATCATCATCATAGTTATTATTATTATTATTATTATTATTATTATTATTATTATTGGAAATAGCATAATATAAATGTGATTGAATTATAATTTTTAATTTTTAAAATATAAAAAAAACCATATTAATATAATACAATGCTATAGTTTACACCATTTGAAAAAAGCGTTTGAAACCTAGAAAGTGAAAAAGGGGAGCATATCAATTATCAATGCTTGATGATATCATAAACAAATTTATACAAGTTTTTAACTTGTGATGAAAACTTATATACATCAGGGGATTATCCATGTAATTTTAGAAGTCAAGGACCTTTTATATTACTTTTTTTTACATTGACTTTTTTTTTTAATTTCTCATATAAAGGGAAATTGCAATAATGGACAGGAAAGGTGCATGTTATTATTTTTTGGAAAAAAAAAGTTTAAAAAACTTTTAAAATTGTCATATTATTTGAATGTACATTGAAATAGCAATGTACTTTGAAAGTACATTGCTATAACAGACATGAAGGTTCTTGTTAGTGTTTTTATAGATTTTTTTTTAAAACTTATAAAAATGACATATTTTAGGAAATTATAATGGACATGAAATACCGACAAAAAAAACACTTTACTTTCAAAAAATCGTATTATAGCATTGTAATGTGAAAGTATATTGCTATAATTCGAATATAAGTTAACAAGAAGTATTGCTATTAATTTCATTAAAATGGTAAGCTATGTTTTTATAGTAACCTACTCTATTATAGTGAATGCACTTCATTATTGCATTATAGTTCTACTTCTTTCTATATAACATTGTACTTGCAATCTTTTTCTTTGTATGATATTCTAATTTAAGAAATCTACTCATTTTAGCATTGCACTTTCGATGTTTTTCATATTAACATATTGCACAAGAGTGAAGATTGATTTGTATTTAGATGATGTTTATATTATTTAGTAGAGTTTTTGAAGTATAATTATGAAATAAAAAAAAGTTAGAAGTACATTGCTATTACTTGAGTAGGTTATAGATAAATGCAGGAAAAGAGTGACTGGAGTTCATTATAACATTCTACTTATATTTTTGGAAGTAGAGCGTTGTAAGTTATGTTATGCTCATCATTCACTGATTTCCATTCCACTAGAAATTTTACATAATTGATCTATATGTTTCTTGATTTATTGACTAATAACGTTAATTTTTTAACAACTCTGTTAGTGGAAAATAGTCATGTTACAATACGAATTCAATACATTAATGTTTTTCAAAATTTATATTCTTTTCAATAACATGAAATATGTAAAAAAAAAAGGACATGTTTATAATGACTACAAATCGAAAAGAAGAAAATATTAAGGTTGAATTTGTCACACCCCGCTAAAGCGGAAATCCAGGGTGTGGCAGTACAAAGGGTTTCAAAGCAAAAGTTAATAAAAAACACCAACCATAGTATTAAAAAGCATTACAACTTACAACTAGTTTGAACATTTTTTTAAAACAAAATTACAATTTATTTGAAAGTCAACACATGCAAATGCTCCTACAAGTGTTGTGTCTCTACGTGCCTCTTACTAGATTATTCCTGAAAAAGCATGTAAAACAAGCGTCAACTATAAAAATAGTTGGTGAGTACTCACAGATTTATAACCTAATATAGTTTGAAATCATGAAAATCGGAATATTGATAACAGTTTCTATAAACAAGTTTTCATTTCTAAAATATGTAAATAAGTTTTCATGTATAGAAGTTTGTTGCTAAAACGAGTAATAAAGTTTCCATAAATAGAAGTTTGTTGCTAATATGAGAAACAAAGTTCGTTGTCATCATTAGAAATAAAGCATGTTGCCAAAATGAGATTCAAAGTTCATATTCTCATGGGAAATAAAGTTCGTTGCTAAAACGAGTAAACGAGTTTCGTTGCTAAAATGAGTATACAAGTTTCGTTGATAAAATGAGTACACAAGTTTCATCGCTAAAATGAGTATACAAGTTTCGTTGATAAAATGAGTATACAAGTTTCATCGCTAAAATGAGTATACAAGTTCGTTGCTAAAATGAGTATATAAGTTTCGTTGCTAAAATGAGTATATAAGTGCCGTTGCTAACATGAGTATACAAGTTTTGTATGTGCATAAAGATTTCATTCATGAGTTCACAACCTAAGCCTAATGACCGAATCGTGCCCTATTGACTACTATGTGTATCACAAACATAGAGAATAAAATGGTAAAATGCACTCAAGCGAATCGTGCGAGCGAGGAGTTGTCTACCTCGTGATAGCGCTATCCATAATAACCATAGGCTCAAAAGAGTTAATGAGTTGTGTTAAATGATTCCAGCGACTTAACTGCAATACAGTCCTCATGAATTAAATTAACATACACACACATGCAAAATATATCAACCAAGTTTATACGAGTCAAAATAAATACAACGAACATAAATAGTTTAGGACATGCTTTTCCACCCCAAAACATTTAAAACCGAAAATAGGGGAAGTCGTGAATACTCATAATGCTTTGAGATAATGAAAATGGTGCCTTGAACTACGTTCCACTCGTACCACTATCGATTTCCTACAACGATGTTACACACTAATGAGTCTCTAACTGAAATCTAATACTACTATACTTACTACTACAATAGAATTATACCAATAATGTGTCAAAATTTTGATATTGATAAGTTATAAACATTTTTCTGTGAAAATTAAATTTCGATGAATCAATTGTTATATAACAATTTAAGTGGAAAATTCTCATTATTGAAATGTTAATATTTAACATTTTAAGATGTGTTCCAATGATTAAATATTCAAAAATTAAATCCATTTAGTTTTAAAATTTCCCAAACTTTGTATTTCAGTTTCAACTGAAGTCAAATATGTTAAGATAAGTTTTCTTGAAATTTTGATTTGTCTAACTATTTTTCACCATTTTAATTCCTTGAATAATCATAAAATCATGGAAAAATAGTAAATTAGCATGAAAAATTCTTATAATTTTTGTGTAACGGATTTACAGTGTACGTAATCTAGTAAAATTATTTAAAGTAATTTTTGAACAGTAAATCCCTATTTTTAGAATTTAAGTGTGTTTAATGCTAAGAAATTAGAAATAAATTGTAAACAATTAACATAAACCCTCAAAATATTTATTTATTGTTATAACTTAATAAAATATTTTCTGGTAGATTGTTATGAATTTTGGATTAATTTAACTATTTTTCGGTAATTTAATTCTTTTAATATACATTAAATCTTGGAAAAATAGTAAAACGTTATGGAAAATTCATCAAATTATTTTGTGAAGCTTATATAATATATATAAGCTTCGACAAATAATAAATGTGAATTTTATAACTTGAAACCCGATTTTTGTAATTTATTTGCCTTAATAACAATAAAATAAAAACTAATGTCAAATAGTAATAAAAATTCCTCAAACTTCATGGGGGAATGTTGGTTTATAGTACAGGTCGTTCATGAATTTTTCCAGAATTTATTTACTAGTGTAAGTATTTAATATACTTTAACACTCTCTTTTCTTATTATTTTCATGTAAAAATAAAAAATATATATATTGAGCTGACAAATTCCAGAATGCATCTTCATACAATTTAATAACAGTGAAAAATCGTTTTATTATTTTGGATTTCGAAAAACATACCTAAAGGCTCAACATATTATAGAGAAAACTTGGTTTTTGTGATTTTGGTAAAAGTTATTGATGTCACTTTGAGAATTTTTGCAACATGTTCCAAATACTTTTGAATCAAGATCTTTTTGTACCTTTGAGTTTATGATGTTAGGAGATCAAAATAAATTTTGAAGGATTTTTAGTGATGAATAAGTCCTTTGAACATGCAACACAAAACTAGTATTCACAAAAAGGTGCTGTTTGAGCAACAGTTTTGTAAAAATTGTTAAAAATCAAAATCTTAATGTTTTGTAGTGAGACCACTTGGGTTGGAAATCTAACTCATATAATTATAATTCAGAAAATGAATCACGACTGTTGGTTAAGATGTGAGTGATATATGGCAGTTCAAAGTCAGGTGAAGTAATCTGGCAGATTGCATGTATGATGATTGGTTAGAAAAATGACTTTTCATCATTACTTTTAGTAAATCCTTTGAAATATTTTAAAGATATCATGATAAAATCATATTCTAGTCATGTTTCCAGATATCAAAAGATTAAAACTTATCAAAATGCATACATGCATTTATGAACAAAATTTTGTTTCTAAAAAAACTCTTAACTTGAGTTTGATGTTTTAATCCTTAAAATCGATTTTTGCACTAAGATCATGAACATCCAACCTTGTTTATCATACATGCATGGTGTTAAAACACATCCATGATGTTTTAAAAACCATTTTAACCAAAAGAAAACAAATTTGAAGAAGATGAAGAAGTAGAAGTCGGGTTTTGATGTAATATGCACATGCATGGCTTAAATCATTGTCTTAACATAGGTTTGATCATAGATTTTCAATATATAAGCAACATGCAAGATGTTCTTGGTAAAAATATACACACATCATCATAAAATCCGAAAATGGTGATGATCTTATAAAAAGAAGACATGAAGACAAAGATTTAGCACATAAAATCATAAGAAAATAGTAGAAACTTGCATGCATGATTTAGTTAGGTGTTTTTACCTTGATGAGTCCTTATAGATGATGGATATTTTTATGCAAAATTGTGGTTTTTGCTTGAAATTTTCGTGGGTGAAAGGAAGAGAAGGAATAGGGGTTTTAGAGAGAAAAGAAAGATTTCATCTCTGTGGATACCAAATCTCTCTCGTCATCTCTTTGGTGTTTATCTCCACCAAAATTGGCCACCGTAATACAGAGATACATGTAGACTCATGAAATATCGACTAGAAAAATCTCTCTTACAGATTTTGCATATAACTTTGTATTTTCTAGAGAGAAGGAGGAGATAAGTTTTCTAAAGAGAGAAAGAA